CGTCATGCAGGTGCAGCGGACCTCTTCCTATAAAAACGGATTAGGCTTAGATATTCTCGCGAGTTACACTTATTTCCGAAACGTTAGGTGCATATGAACTTGCAGATCCATTGTTGGAACTGAAGAGAAGGACGGAAAAGCACAGACTATACTTATTCCCATGGGTCACAAAGGAATCTTAATTGTTTTATGACGTTAAATAAATAAATGAATAAATAAAACATACTGTTGTAGTGACTACTGGATCGAGGTTGGAAGCAGCAGACAAAGGGACGTGTAGATGTGCCTGGATTGAGAATGATCGTGAAAAAAGATGAATTCGGCGGCCTTGACGAGCGTAGGTAATCCACCGGACACCAAACCATGCGCTGCCTCACAATACACTGACATCGTGCCCGCTGTAAAAGCCTGAAGGAGTGGGATGAGAACGCACTCGTAGCCACGGGAAAGAAAATACATGTCGGTGTTTTTATGTGTTACGACAGAACTCTGAACTGCCAGGTGCTTCTTATGTAAACGACCTCCTCCTGAGCCAAGCAAACGGATTTAGACGAATACTCCACAGATTCCCGCCTGCTATTATTAGCTCAGCGTTTATCTTCTGCAAGAATGGCGTGTCCTTGATCTCCTTGGGGTGTCACAGAAACCACTTGAAAATCTCCTTTTCGAGTTCTTTCTGCCACTACGTACTATATATCACAATCATTGATTGTCGTTGGTATGTTTATACCATTCAACATAATATAATAAATACTAGTACTATAAATACGTTCTTTCTGCCACTACGTACTATATATCACAATCATTGATTCTCGTTGTTATGTTTATATCATTCAAAATAATATAATAAATACTGGTTTGAAACATAATAATCTGAAAAAAATAATATCGTAATTAATGTTACAGTTTTTCTTTCCGATAGTTGCCACAGATATTGAACAATTTTTTCCATAGCAAACGTGTGTTTATGTAAACGTCTCTACAAAGAATTAATTAAACACTACTTTATAGGGTTCATGATGTGATAAAGATTTACTTAGGAAACAAAAGCCGTCTCTCCTTCAATGTTTGATTAGTTCACTCGTGTGGATAATTAATACATTTTATTATTAAATGTTTTCTTCAATGGGTACTTTATGTTAGACTTCTTCGCACCCAAACTAAAAATTTTTCACTTGATGTACCTTCGTTCAAATTTGAATGGAGTTTCGCTTTACGAGATCGTTGCCGCTTAAAAATCTGAGAATAATTGGATGATTCTAATAATATTCGTAATAATAATAATAATAATAATAATAATAATAATAATAATAATAATAATAATAATAATAATAACAACAACAAAAATGCCTATACGAATAGTCGATATCGCTAAGACAGAAGTTCCGTAACGATCTCGGAAAAGAAGATCGCGGGTTCGAGTCGGGCCTCAGGCATGATTCTGTTGTGTGTGTATCTATATGTTTTGATGTGCATATTTCATCATTCATCATCATCATCATAATTTCATCCCACCCCACAGAGATAACAGACCTGGTATAAGAATTAAATCAGCATTGAAATACTGATTCCCCCTATAGAAAGGTAACGTGCGCCTACCCCTATTATCAAGTCTGAACCCTGGTGGAATGCAGGTATCGCGTGGACTCATGATGGCCGTGTTGCAAAACAACTAAATAATAATAATGATAATGATAATAATAATAATAATACCTACAAAAGGTGTTTTTAAATAGTATTTGTACTTAAATCATTTGGTATTGAACCCTTAAGTATTTTAATTTCTTAGTATTCACCCCATTGATTTGTTAATAAATAGTCTTTACCCCGTCCGCGCTGAAAATAGGTTTTTTTCGTTTTTCGTTGCCAACAGTGAGTTAATTGGTACAACGGGTATTATGACATTATTTTCTTTTCTTTGCACAATACAATAAATAGTGAAAAGTGTTCTTGAGAATTTTGTATTTTACAATACTTCTTCGCAATAATTGTATTCTCTAGATTGTTTTGGCTCCATATATTTCGCATTCAATTTTACTGTGACAAATAGCACAATTTGAGTACCTTACTCGTTGAAACATATCGTCTCTTGCGATAATTAAAGGTATACTTTTCGTTACAATAATTCAAGCGTAAAGTTGTGATAATTAAAAGCACTCGAGTATTTCCTGATATACATTTTTTCAAATTTCTGCCTATTGTGCGTTTAATGCATAAGATCTGCTTTTAATATTTTTCAAAACAACAAAAAATATAAAGGGAGAAGCAAAACAAAGTTGAAAAAAGACAGTGTATTTCCGCTGTCTAAATTATTAAATCGCTGTCGTATTAAATCGCTGGTGAGGTAGATACCTTTTTATTATGATAAATAAATAAAGATATTGTCTGGTGTCAATACTTTTTATTCAGCTTATGATCGTTTCGATCGCACAGCGATCATCCCCAGAGGTTGCAGCTTCCGGACCGAAAACACAGTTCTGGCAGTTTGGCAGAACTGTGTTTTCGGCTCGGAATCTGCAAGCTCTGAGGATGATCGCTATGCGATCGATACGATCATACGCTGAATAGAAAGTATTGATACCAGACAATATCTTTATGTATTTCCATGTAAATGATGAAGTTAATTTTATTAAGTAAACTTTATAATTATTTTATTTTGGTGTCAAATTATTTGACGTAATGAGTGGATCTCACAGTTCGTTTTAATCTTAGGCAAACAAATATTCCTATAAATTTAGTGAAGATTTAGGGTTAATTTTTATTTCTTGTATGTATTTTTTGCATCACGTAGGTCACATACTTATTTCATTATTAATGTTGGGTGTATTGTGTTTGTTGATTTTTTAAAGTAGGAAGCGGGAGTGCATATTTACGTTTGGTATATTGTTTTTGAAAATATACAGTCGGGTGGGTTTTTAACCATCTCGTGAAGATAAATTGACAGCAAAGGTGATTTTAAGTCTACATAAAGATCAGCACTCAGAACAATGTGGTATCATTATTACGGAGTGATGATTCTCGCCTGTACAATCCAACGAAACGACTTTCATTCCTAGTGTGTATTACAAAGAGAATGAAAATTTGCCATCAATAAAACTAAACGTCGCAACGAAATTATAATGAAGGTGTAAGAACATAAGAGGGTATATTGAACTGACAATTAATGATATATAACCTGACTTCCTCTCAAAATATTTTGAATTTTATACGCTAGTGTAGCAGAGAGTTAGTATTATTTTATTCCACATTGCAAGTGAAATGTGGTTGAACGTCATTCTATCTGACATAAAAGTTGATTGGAGACAAATATTTGCGTGTGGGTTAGATATCCTGAACCGTTGTTTTTCACAAATCTGTATTAATATGTAAAACTGAAAGTTAATATTTTGGTGAAATTCTGCAATGAGAACATAGAAGTTTCACTATTACGATAGTACCTCACTGAATATTGAAAATTTCAAAATTAAGTGGTGCAGTAATACGAGAAAGTATGAAGGAAAGTATAACATTTTATGAATTTGAAAGAACCAGACATATAGCGCAAAATAAGTCATTTGAGCGTATTTTCATTTTGAGGAAATATTATGTTGTTAAATTATATTTTATTTTAAATCAAACTCCGCTGATCAGCTTTGTACCCTTAGTTATGTTAGAATGAATAATATGATACCATTTATTTCTCAAAGATCTGATATTTCTTAATGTGATTTTATCACTGAAGAGACTTGCCGACATGAAGACATGTTGTAGCCTCATAAAATAATTTCAATGTGCTGTTAGAAATTAGCACATTTTGTTACAATATTAAAGTATTTTCAATGCTACAAAATAATGAAGGATTATTCGAACCGTTAAATTCGATTTAATTCACTGACTTCGACTTAAGTTCATTAAGTGACGGGTAATTCATTTGAAATAATCTTAAGGTCTTCAACAAAACAATATATCAATATTATTAAGTACAAAAATCAGTATTTATGCAAAAGAACTAGTGTTGCTAGTTTATATGCCACAATTTTTATCTGTGGACATTTAATTACTACACTAATTTATTTCTATTTCAGAAATGCGCAGTGAATAAATATCCCATAGACTACATATTCCTAATTTATCACCTACGAACGATAGGTCTCATTTACTTCGGGTTATGTCACATTATTTATTGCATACAACCAACCCCACTCGACGACTTCATAATTGAACAAATAACCCCTTGGCGTGTCGTTGGCATCAGCGAGACATCGGCGAAACTCCCATCCGAACATCCGGCGAGCAGGCGGCGCCGTCAGTATTGGCCACGGCGTGGTGGAGAACCCGCTGCATACTTGCTCGTCGTAAACTAGCCAAAAATGCTCAATTTCTGGCTCCTTTGCTACTCCCGGCTCGCAACGCAAAATGAAATATTTTCTACCTCGCAGCGAAATCTGCTCGCGATGACTGTTTCATTACAATTTAAACAACTTTAGTTTGCATTACGCTAAGACGATTACATTACAGTTTAATAATAATAATATATTTTTTGTTTTATTATAGAATTATTATATTATGCCAGTATTATGATTTTTATATAGTAAAAGTATCAGTAAAGAGAGAATTGTGCCTTTAATTTCAGTTTAATGAAGCTAATTTTGTTTTTGATTTTTTGTTGTGTAGAACTACTTAAACGATACACATGCCTCCGACTAACAGTTTAAAACGTGTATCACCTAGCCTCGGATTGGATGTCTTGCAATATTTGAACTCAAACATGGATCAATGGCGTGCACGCACATTGCTCTACATTCTACAGTCATCCCTTTACTTCTCGGATTGAATGGTTTCATAAATTTATTTTCTTGATGTCATTTCCAAGATTCCTTATATTTATTCCTGAACTAGTTCATCGCCTTCTAGGCAGAACGTGTGTTCCATGAGGAGTCGTGGATCTGTATTTCGCGAGGAGTCTCTAATCGATGTTCTTGCCGAGACGTGTTAGTAACTCCGTCGCTTCGTGTTCGCAGGTTCCTGACGCAGCACCCTGGCTTCGTGATGACGCCTCGGCCGCGCGACTGCCTGCCCAAGGGCTTCCCGGCCGACATCCCGGGCACGTGCCACTTCCTGCACACCTACCTGCACCCCGGGCTGGCTCGGGACGGCTCGTGCACGCTGCAGGACAACGTGCAGGCGGCGCTGCGGGAGCTGGGTTTCGTCACCGACGCTGCCCCGCACTAGCCTGTCACGCGCACGCCCCGCCCCGCCACGCACGACCTCCCGCGCAGATCGCGGGGCAACGTCACCTCACGCCGTCTGACGCAGGGGTCGGCGTATCCTGCAGACGACGCGCTCCGAAGTCGGCGAATGACACAACTGGCGTACCCCAAGGATGACATACCTCGAGAACAGTGAACAAGAGCCTTTCTCGAGACGGCGAACCCTCAAGGATGTCGAATTCCAAGCGCGGCATGCACTGAAGTCGGTGCACTGTATACCTCGAGGATGGCATTGCCCTGCGGGTCACATTCATTGGAACCGGCGTACTCGAAAAACGGCGTACATCAGTTACGATTTATCCCAAGGACGTCTATCCGGCAGCTGACGCACTTTGAGGATGGCGTACCTGGAAGACAGCATATCTTGAGAACAGCGTTCACGAGATCGGATTTGCGCTTGACAAATCCTGCAATTTCTGAAGGGAATCCATTACTGATTCCCATAACTAGACTAGGCACAACGAAATGGGTTCACTTGTTTCGGAAGTGCTGAATTGAATATGAATTTCTAATCGGAATGTAGGCCTGTAAAATAACTTACCTGACATTGAACCGAATATCTTCGTGGTCGATGTCAGTCTTCCTAAGAATATGTCGTCGGCCTTTTTATAGGGATGTGCAAAAACAGTGTCCAATGTTGGGTTGTGTGATTTTTAATATTCATTTGGTAGTTGCATGAAAATTGTGTGCAACCATGTTGAAACTTAGCCACGATTACTTTTCTAAGTTGTGATGTAAATAATCGATTACATGATTACGCACACTTCAGTTTGTCTCTTCTCTACAAACACAAATAAAAATTTCGTGGTCAGTTAGACATTTATATTACTTTTGAATCTCCAGTAATATACCAGCACATCCCTACCTTAATACAATTTTGTTTGCGGCAGAATTCATTGAATGAGTATCAGCTTTTGTGGACTGCAACGTACCTACTGAATATTTGCCTGTTCAACGAATAAACATTTAGCGTCGTGTAATGATATTGCTATGCTGAGGTACTGAAGACAATTCTCGCTTTTGTGTGACATAAATATATCTACTTGCGAGAACAACTTAAAGTGTATGTGCTGTGGCAAGATTGCGGGTCGGTCATGGGTGTGCAAAACATTCCATTATCATCTCATGCCTTTCAACATCATTTCCACAATGCCAATATGTGTACAATTTATTCAGAAATATTTTTTTCTGTTATAAGTATTCAAAATAACTTTTTAACTGTTTCATGGTTATATCTCATGAAAAACTTTAATTCGGAAAGCTAATGTCCCATGAGACAAGAACACAGTTATTTTCAAATTATTTCTTACGATCGTGTAAACCACATGACGAAATTTATGTTTGAAGCCAAAGTAAGTTATATTTATCAAATTTACAAATATGTAGGCCAAGAATGAAAAATTCTAACATATTTTTTAGAAAATAAAAATGCTTCTACAAAACTTCAATCGCTATCAAAATTGTAAAAACATGATTTTTGTTTTCCGCCTTGTATTCAGATTTTTCGTTTACTTCATAGCTTTCTTATAAAAGTCTTTTTTATTTTGCTTTTTTTGTATCGTAAACTGTAAATTTTTCCATATGAGAAATGCCTTTAAATTATCAATTTTTGCATATCAATGAAGCATTCCATTTATGTTATTCTAGAGTTTTATTTCCTTTTGAGTTAAAATGTTGCATTAATTATGGATTAAACATTTCTTTCCTTGCGCAACATTCTAAGAAGAGTACCACTACATCAAGGGTGGTTAGGCAACCAGATAACCTTTATTCACATATGCTCTGCGGAGCTGCATTCGCGCAGGGGCTCTGTGCCTTCAGTTTTGGATCATTCAATTGGAACCTTTTAGAGTACTTTGGACAGGTTCTAAGCAAAAGCTATCAATAAAAGTATTAATGTAATACTCAGTTTTGTTTGACTACTTTCACATAATATCTATGTACATTTTTAATTGGTTTGCAATTTTTTCTACTACTGTTTGTTTATAGGTGTAGCTCTTTTTACAGGTTCTTTTAATCATTTATCGCTCGCAAAATGCCACTTTAATATTTTGTGTTTTATCATGTCGAGAGTTCTGCATCATATCTGATCCTTCCATTTCTATGTTTACTTCATGTTTCCATTCCACACTTGGTCAGCCCCTTTCTTTCGTTTCGTTGTTCATTACTCAAAGTCGAGATGCATACGTTACAAAGCTAGCGATTAATTGTAAGACTTTTATTGTTTGTGGCATGCTCACACTAATTTCTTTATATAATTTGTTAGTTAGGTTTGATTTTTTTTAATTTCATGGTCCTTTCCATAATATGTCTACTTTTTCATGTTCTAGGGTTCGTCAAAACAATTTCTAATTAATTATTAACATTTATTTCGCATTATTTTATTCAATAAAATCTTTGATTTTATTTAATTGAAATGTTAAGAATAAACTAAAAATTAATAATAATTTAAATAATTTATAGATGCTACTTCTTAAAATTTATTTTCTAATTATTTGATTGTAATTTTAGAATTTTCATACAACTCTTCGTAAGTTTGAACATTTTATTTGTTTACAATTGCGTGATATTTTAATAAATTGAGAATAAAGGAGAACGTCTTAGTATTACAACTCAGCTACGCGGATTTATATTTATAATTGTACATGATTCAATAAAGACATACAATTGCATCTGACAATTCTATTATAAATAATATTTTTACCACTATTTCCAGCAAATGTGCGCTTAATCATGGAAAGTAATTAAACGTGGACAATCCATATTTTATGTCAAGACTATATCGATATTAAGTAACAGAAGATTAAGAGGATAGTTTGATCAAGTGAATACCTATATATGTGAATATTTCTCTCTATGTTTTTGAAGTAATTTACGTAAAGAATGTTACCAAATTAAGAAATTCATTATAGCATTTACTTTATCCTGTAAAACGTCAGAAGTGATAGTAAAATGTTTATCATTACTTTTGTTTATGCACGACTCTGGCCATCATATTACATCACATTTTTTATTCTATAAATCTAAATACAAATTATTTTTTTCTCAAAGAAACCTGAACGCATATCCTATAATATAGAAATTGAGCCATACAATTTCTCTCTTATTTATCTGGTTTACTAATGTATTATTGTAACTATTATTATTATCATTATTAAACAATACTATTTATATACATACTGCGGAAACTGGATGAAGTAGAGCAATTAAAGCAGAATACTGTCTCTTAGGCACAAATTTACGTTCGCAAAAACCCACATATTTTGTGAAACATTCAGAAATCTATTCAAAAATTTGTATGCATTTGTTATTTTATGTTTCATGCACTGTGGTACGATTGTTCAGAAAAATGCTTGTGGGTTTGAGGTTGTATGCTTTGTAACAAAGCATCGAAATAATCTTCTGACATGAATACAAAATTTCCAAATAATCATGATCTATTGGCCATCCGATTGAGTTCATGTGTATAAGTACATCCAAAATTTATTGATTACTTTTAATATTTAATTCGGAAATGTATAGTTTTTAAAATTAATTTTATATAGCATTGTAATATTTTGATTCTTAATGAAATGGTCTAAAAGGAATTTCTACTTATTACGCAGAATTTCATTCTAATAAATTAGCACCTGTAATCGGTATGCGCTTGTTTTTCAAACGATGAGTCATTTTTTTAATTACGGTTCAACATGGAAAGTTCATTACCCAGTAAAATCGCTGAATATCCAGGTATGAAATTTCAGTCGGGCGACGCCAGATTTTCAAATGGTTCCAATCTTTCTTTTTAAGGAAATTTACTGTTTGATCAATTGTGAACACAAAAATGTTCAAACTACGTGAAAGAAACCATTTTTACGCGTCGAGTAAACATTTTGAGATTTTCGATTGATATGAATATATAAACTGAATTACACGCTTCAAATATTTTCAGAAACTGCTTGACTGGAAAATAAAGGGCAATATGAAAACAATGTAAACTACATGACATGTATAGTGGTTGTGTTCTAGTTTCTATACAATGTGTAAAATGTTATTAAGTGAACAATGAAGAAACGTTTCTTCTGCAAGCTAAGGGCAGCGCAAGAATTATTCTCCTGTCCGGAAAATGTCTTCGTAAGAAGTTACCTCTTATGAATCCGCAGATAGCAATGCTTCTCTGCGGTGTTCGAAAACAAAAGAATGCACAGATCTTTTCCAGGGCGCCGCCAGCAACTTATCTCAAGTAGATGAGTGCAGTGGTTCTCAACTTATTAACCTGAACTCTCTTTGTCGAGATTATATTTGATGTAATTTTATTGAAAATGCAAATGCTTCAAGAAGAAAGGTATATTTGACAGAAAAATATTTTCCAAATATGTAATAATCTCCTGAAAGGATCTTCTCCACTTCAGTCCGAAGCCGTTTCTGATGTCTTCGAATACATAAGTAATAAATACTTTCTTGTACATTTAGAATGAATATTCTTCATGAATAAAGAAGGAAACTTGAATGTGCTTTTCATTCAGCTGTGTTTCACTGGATGTTAACAATGATATCTTACATTTTACCGCGTTTTATCGAATTTTGAAAAACTCGGAAATGGTGAAAAGTTGAGAATCACTGAATAGATAATTCCTTTTATTAAAGAAATTGCGTCATGTAATAGCAATACAGCTTCTTTCAAGCACCTCTTATGTAGCGTCTTAACGTTGCTTTTTCGTGACCGATGGTTCCTCGCAAAGGATTTCTTCCTTCTGTATTCAAACGTAGGGCAAATTTCTCTTCAAAAATCTGTCTAATCAATCTACAACATTCTGTCTAATTTCCCAGTACAGATGCAATATAGGGTTTGTCAGTAGAAATTATTGTAAATACTAATATGCTGAAGGCGAAAATCCTTTGTGAACGGTACATTAGCATTAATTCTTTCTGAAAAGTTGTCAGTGGGTTCCTTCAATTTTCACAACACGAATGTAAGCACAGATTAGTGATTCTTTGCATAGGTGTGCGCGACTTAGACAGTACCGACGCAAGTATCTTCAAGAGTCTGCCTATAAGCCTCATGCGATTTTCGAGTGTGCTCCATATAATATAAAAATACTGAAATGTTTCTTATTTCTGTGTTGCAAGAATCAACACTTTTATACTGAGTTATCAAGGTGTTGTACGTGGTGTATCCTGATAAGAGTGTGTACTTTTCAGATTTTCAAAGCTTGAAGATAGCCACCCAAAATGCTATGTGATTCAAGCTTGTAAAATTCCAGTGTCAGTGCCAAAATTGTTATTGCCTGTATAATGGGTTTTCAATGTAAATAAAAATGCGACAACTCAAAGACACTTTAAAAACGAAAAAAATGCTGTTCCTTTGGATTCCTTCCACACATACAAAACCTAAAGGGAGTTTCTACTCCGACGTTTTGATCCCTCCCCGCTTTCAGAGAAGCCAATGACATACTGACAGTGAATTCGTACAAATGTCGACCCCACATTCAACCCTCCTCCTTTCCTCTGCCTCTTTCCCTCTCTCACTCATCTTCATCCTCCATTTACGAGGAGTCGACTCACCGGAAGCCAGTAAGTGTACCATGTGTTACGCTATTCGTCCTGTTATGCAGAGGATGAGTTCAAGCTAAAGAGAAAGAGCACGATAAAAATGAAACAATCTCTTTAGCGTTTTAAGGGTGGACGTGAGCTACAAGCTGGCCCCGTTCACTCAACCTGATTAGAGTGTGACGACTCTACAGACTACAGGGTGGATACATCCTGACTTACATATTCTTGATCTTTCAAGTTACACTGCAGAGCTATTTGCATTCTCCCCATTACGTATCTGCAATTGTTGTGTTAGTCTTTTATCTATTGTTCGTGAAACTCGCCTTATAAAACGTAAATGAAAACCAGTTTACGTAGTTCAAAATATGTAGTGACATTAGATGACTCAAATTCAATGTAAAATGATAATAATAATAATAATAATAATAATAATAATAATAATAATAATAATAATAAATTATAGCAATATAAACAACAGTTGAAATTATTAATATGATTTGTACATTGGTAAAGGCTGGAGCTGGTTGGCACGGAGGTTCCTACATAGGCTATGAAGCTTCCATTTGCCCTAGCTCTCAAACAAATGTCCTTCATGACCTAACGAACTTTTGAAGTCTCTGAATGATCAGTGAAATAACAGGGGAACTGTGATCTCAAGTGTGTTTCAGAGTACAGAAAGTGATATTTTTGTAGTTCATTGATTATCTTTGTAAAACTGTGATGTAAAGACCTTGTTTCTATCTAGTTTTCAGTTGAAACCTTCAACCAAGTACACGTTCAAATCTGTTTGATTCAATTGTGCTGGTAATTTCAATTGTGTTTTTTTGACCCTGGAACAACCAGTCCCATTCTCTGTCCACCAACCATCTCTACAAAATATTTTTTTCTTCTTGTGTTTAATTATTCTAAGGGAAAAAGCACTACAATGGAAACCGTTAATAATATTTTCGTGTTTTTTTCAACATTCTTTGGCAAAAACTATTACTATATTCTACATGTACAACACAATGGGCAATTAGCATACTTATTTCTGAATAGATTCCTTGCTTAAAAATGAACAATGTTTATTGTGTTCTAATTTTTATTCAGTAATAACTAATCGATACTCTTGTACGTGTTTGAGACCAAAAAATTAAAATCAAATAGTACTCTTCATGTTTCATTTTTGAAAATATCAGTAAGATGTTTTCGCTTTTTCTTTAAATATAAAATAAGGGAAAATAAATATGCTCCACATTTTTCATGTTTCAAGCTAGTGGGAAACCTTCAATTCCTATTTCTCAAATTGTGAGCTTGAAGCACTATTAATGTCGTGATCCTACTACTTACCATTTTGATTAAATACAATTTCTTGACTATCTGACATATTTTCAAAAGCATAAATATTTCTTTTAAAAAAGTTCTAAAGGTTTTCCAGTTATGTGGTATTCTATGGGCCTGTACTGTATTGTGTATGTACTGTATGTACTGTATTTTACCCGACTGCAAGACAAAGCTTTGGGTTTACTATGCGGGTTCTCAAGCCGCTACGAGCAAGTTTCATGTATGAGCCCGACGACACATTTCATGTATACTGCGATTAAAACACGAAGTCCTTAAAAGGGCACGAACTGGCCGGAGAGGGGGACATTGTCATCAAATTGCTAGATTCTTTATGACATAAATGTATGGTATTGAAGCTCCCAATTGGATACCGATGCCCCCTTCCCGTTTCAGCTCGTGTCCTTGAAAGGAAAAGTGTTTTAATTGAAGTATAGAAACCGGAACTGCCTGCCAACCTTTATGGATCTGATGCGTTGGGGATCCTGTCTCAGGGAAAATGTTTCCTTTGCTGTCGTCTGTTTTACGATAAGATAGACATTAAATTAACGAAAATAAAATGGATCTATCATTTTTTATCAATTTGTAATGATTACCCTTATTTTCTAATGAGTTATTATTTATTAATTTGTTAAAAGTATTTTTCTTTATTCGTTGATTGAACATGCCACTTCGTTTTTGTCGCCTATCCCAAGTTTGTTTTCTTTAGCGTGAAACATGAAACAATTAAAGTTATCCACTTAATGTTCAAAAAAATGCATGAATCATTTCAGTTAAAACAGGGAAAATACTGATTAAATCGAATTAAAGACTGATTTTTAAACACTTAATTTTAAAAGTACAAGTCAGGCGGTTCGGACGAACAAGACAAAAGTGTTACACGTTCTTTCATTAATTTATGTAACATACATGGAAAAATAATTCAGTTTGACATTGATTATTACTCCCCACTCACACGTATGTAGTGACCAACCTACATGAGGTATGTGCCAACCAACTAATCTTGTGAGCATTCATCTTCTTATGAATGTTCATCTTCACGTGATAACTTTAAATGACTCTAAAAGGTCGACAGTAAAATATTCACGAATACTAAATACCATAAGTTAGCTTCATAAACGTAGTTTCGATGGATATAAACGAACATGTCAAAACGAAACCGGTCTTTCCTTAAAAAAACTACCAATTGGTGTCAACCATCCTTGGTCTCGTTTACTTACATTGGAAAGTAGAAAGGAAAAGCTGCAAGTGCAATGTCTGCAATGTATTGTTGTTACTTACATAAAAATGTACAAGTATGTACTGAAAATATTCCTTTGAAAAACTTATTAATGAAAAATGTTGAAATGAATTTTATAGTTCAAAAGAAAACGCTCATCATTATACTGCAGTACTTTTTTCATAAAAATATCAAATCACTTTGATAATATTTGAGAAACTTTATTCCTTCACGCACGAGTAGCTGTAAAGAATTTCATATATCATTCAAATTACTTAAATTTCTGATGAAAAAAATTCCAGAATCGAGGAATAAGATTTTCTTAAAGTCACAACTATTCCTTTAAAATGTCCAAGCAAGTACTGAAAGCCACTTTTAATGCTGCCAGACACGTATTGAAAATGTTGTTCGGAGAACTTTTTCCACGTTCCCTTTTTACATACATTTTAATTAATCAGTCTATGAACAATCAAAAAACTTTTTGATAAAATTCTTAATAATTTCTTGAAAAATCTCCTCCCCTTTCCCATCGTTTTATTCCTTTGAAGAAAGCAACTAATGAGCAACGATGAAAAAAGCCAACGCAATATTTTCAAATCAATTAAATGCAGTATCTATTATGTTCGAGTCGAGGTGCCATTCATCGGTGTAGAGCACGTTCAGGCCATGGTACGTGAATTCCTTTTCTCTTTTGTCTACAGTCCGATATCGGACGGCGATTTAATGAACGTCCCTTCTCCCTTTGCGCTGGACGTGCGATGCTCTTTTCTTCAGCAGCCAAAGCTCGATTGCGCGAAAGTCAGTCAATCGCAAATGAAAATGCCTCACAATCAACTTCCACGAAACAACACGGTACTGACACTCATAAAAGGACCGATTGCTTTGAAGGATACTAATATTTAAGTGCGATTTTTATTATGACACTTTCTCATTTTTACATCATGTTATTCCTTGGTGCTTATTTGTCTTATAGATATAAAACATGAATGAATTATTAAATTTTATCATGTATTATGTTTTAATAACATGTGAGGTGTTTTATTATGCTGGATAAGCCTTTTTTGTGTTAAAATGTTTATAATGATATGTCTACTCACAAACAAAATATTTTACACACAAATAACTGACGGAAGCAACACGATAAACTAATTATTTGTAATAAGATCCATAACCAAAACAATGTATTAGTGATAAATTTAAACATCAGACTCAAGAAAACACTTAAAAAATACAATCCTCATTATGTTAAAATACGATGTCTAAAGATTAATTTAACTTATAGATTTCATGGTTCATATATTAAATGTGACGTCTCAGATCATTAGACTTTGTTACCTCAGATCATTAGACTTGTTTTTTTCATAATCAGTAATTTAATGCAATATACTTAAAAATGTATTTTAAAAAGGAATATCTCAAACAAAACGCATATCAATTGAAATAACAAAAAGTATGGGAAACCGATGTCCTTACAAGAAAACGCAGGGCTCTATTTTACATTTCTCGTCTCCTCGTATTTCAGAGAGAAGGTACATCTATTACCTGCAATAACCACCAGAGTCTTCGGAACGGTTCATAACTATGGTATGTATTAAGGTGTAATTGAAAATGAATACTACCAGAATCTCAAAACAGCGGCAAATTCTCTACGTATGGGTTGTAGAATTGCAACCAGAGAAAGGTGTCGACAGTTACACCTTTTTTAATGGTATTCGTGGCATGAAAAGCAACCACGTTTACCAACACGTTTCATAATGTGTGAAAACATAGCTCTCATAGCATTGCTGTGGAAACGGGTTACTTTTCCCCAATTTCAGGTTTCATATTGGGGATTCTAACTGTACTGATAGCAGACATTTTTCTTTGCTAGCGAAGTCGGTTATTTATAATCGAAAAGCAAACATGTAACACGCTTATTTAGAACATTTATCGCCTGGGACGAAGAAAAATTGTGGGGTTGGAGTAATCCGTGTGAACAATAATTATTTCATAATTGCGGGGCCAAAATCAAAGCCAGTTTTCTCATGAATAGCCAACAGTCAGTCAGCGGATGGTAGTAAAGTAACAAAAGAAAAGAAGGTTAGTGTGTGACAAAAATCACGTACTTTTGTTTTTTGGGATAAAATAAAAAAATTATTAAGAGCTCACATTTACTGAGCTTTCAGAAACAAATCATTTTGAAACGTCGTAACGTATTACATTTGTAAAATATAACACATTAAACGTCTAAAAGAATGAGATAATAAGTTAACGATACAACAGATAAAATGTAATTTCCATTATTATTGTATGAAAGGGGGTAGTAGGTTATATATAGTCAGACCCAATATGATTTTTTTAAATGTTTCTCATTAACAAAAAAACTTACTAGGCTTATCGCGTCGTATCCAATTATGTAGCAAAATGAGAGGTCAAATTCATCCCTCAAATATAAACAAGGGTCCAGGGTTTTTCAAATTCCAAAATCCTAACACTCACATGTTGTGGGCGTAATCTTACATAATTAATGAGCAATCACCAGCTCAACTTCAAACACATTGCAGCGCACGCACGGCAGCCGTTTTACGATAACGGAATACAGTAAGACCCAGAATTAGGTTGAAAATCCTCCAACTCACAATCCTATCACTATGATGGGTCAATCACTATGGAGGGTCAATCACTCAAGCCGGCTGAGGTGGCTCATGGCATCGACTGATGTCACTGCAGTGTTTATGCCCGGGAAATCTTAGGGTTCGAGTCCGGATTCTTCATTCTATTTAATTCGATTAGATCGAATTCAGATGGAATATAATTCAATCGGCTGATCGGTAGTTTCCCCTGATTCCTCCAATAACACCAACACGCGAATGCCGGAGCAGTACCCCAACAAACGGGTCACGGACCGCATGCGGCCTTTCCTTCCTTTTCTATGTCCAAACCTCACTTCTTAGATACATTCACACTTAAAAGCACTACATTTCGCACATGTAGAGAGACCAATCGAGAAAGTAGTGCTTATGCCGCTAGGGCGGTTCCCTGCTAGTGGATGGGGAAAACCCCGCAAGTCGGCGTGCAGGTTGGCATCGTATCTCACCAAGCGGGGGAAGGTCATCTCAGATGACTAAGGGACAAATGACCATAGCAGTTGTCGCACCCGGAAACACGAAATAATCAACCAATGAGTCAATCGTGCGCAATGATCAGTTCCTCCGCGAGTAGGTTGCAGCCTGCGCTCACAACTGTTTCGCGAGAAATGAGAGAGCACGTCGCGCACAGTACTGCGTAGCGGTTTCAAGACGATAAAACACAAGATTGATGTAAAGACAAATTTATATGATTGGATTGAGAATCTTTCGACACGAAATATCTTCATCCTGCAACCTCTGGCGAGCTAGTAAAACGTCAATCACCCGGACTCACCATCTCGTCTTTACGTAGCACCACGTGCTATGTGGCTGTTTAGACACGTACTAGAGAGACAAAAATACACGATTGCACTGAAAATCTTTTCATTCACCACGACACGCGCTAGGTAGCTGTTTCGAGGTGTACAATCAAGATAAATCCAGAATTGTCGTGAAAATCTTTTCATTCACTACGTCACGCCTGGCACTAGGTAGCTGTTACGAGATGCCTATACAAACAATAAAAAATACGATTGGGTTGAAAATATTTTCATTCATTACGTTGTGTCTGATGCTTTGTAGCTGTTATGAGATGAACCATAAAAAACAAAAATTGACCATTATGCTGAAAGTCTTTCAACCCCTAATCCATTCACTACGCCCACTCTAGAGAACCAATCACACACCAATCGCACGCAATGGCCTGCTCCTCCTACGTCGCGTCGAGCGCTCGCGCGCGCGCGCGGCAACTGTTTCGCGATCGACGCGCCATCTTTGGCGCGGGCGTGCAAGCGGCGGCGGCGGCGGCGGCGGCGGCGGCGCGTGGGGACGGTCGATAGCTGGGGCGGGCGGGCGCGCGGGCCGGCCGGCCGTTGGGCTGGGACGGCCGGGCGCGGAGCAGGCGAGGCGAGGCGAGGTGGCGCGTCGCCGGCGGACGAGCGTGCCAGCAGCGGCCCAGCGACGACGGCGCTCGGCCCCGGCGTCAGCGCGGCAGCGGCGGCCGCCACCACGGCGACGACGGCGCGCCGGACGCGGTGAAGCCCCCGCACCTGCCAGCGACCACGGGCGGCGCGCGCCCGCGGCCCGGTCACCATGGTGAGTGGGCCACTTGTTGGCTGGCACGCCCGGATGTGCTAAGTGCGTGCGCGTGCGGGCGGGTGACGCACGAGGCGGTGCGTGGTGGGTGGGTGTGGGTGCAGTGGGCGGAGAAATCGATGGGGTGATTTGGTGCGGGGTGATTTGGTTGCGTGCTTCGCGTTATCGTGGTGGAGTTTCGGAGTGGTGAGCACGGGTTGGAACGTGTGCCGGAACTTTGCGGGACGTGACGGGAAGTTGGAATTGAATTGCGGCGGCCTTGACCGTGTCGTTGCCTGTGGGATTTGTTTGGGCGATGAGTCATTGCTGTTCTTAATGGCTTAGAAGTTCTACAAATACTGTTCGACCTTGATGTCTCTAGAAAAGTAATATGAATAAAAGAGTTAAAAGAAGAAGAATTTACAGTAAATATGCATATAATGATATATTAGAGATGTAGAACAGTCAAAATAAGAATCCAAGGATTAAATTTTTGTTTTTAAATTATTAATCCAAATACTGATTATAACATTCAATAATGATTAATATTCATTGGCATGAAAATAAAACAGTATACAACGAAAGATCCAAGAAAGAAAACTATATCGAAATGTTTGTAAAAATGAAAGGAAAAGCATGTAGCATGAAGTTTTTAAGAGGATGTAAATACTTCTATTGCTGCATTTATACTCTTTTCATAGTGCCTGAAAGAAAACCAATAGTAAATCTCTAAATATTTCTCTCGGTTATTTGATTCTCATGGCATGACTCTGCCTTTAACTTAGCATTCCATAATTTACGCTTTTATTCATGCGTGTTTCTTACGCCATAAAATACATACTTTCACTTGATTTAGCTCGTGTATCTTTATTTTGCGCGCAAAATTCTTTAATTCGAGTACCTTTGTTGCAAAAGTTGTAGTGCTGTGCTGAGTGATGAGTTTAGTTTTTCTTCTCTCCGAATGTCATTTCTCTATCTCCAAGTGTGAAGAAATTTTACCGATTTTCCTATCTTTTTGTCGATAAATATTCATTTGAAATTCAAATTGCTCAAGCGCCAAATGAAAATATATATTTCAATGTATTTAATGTGTTTTGTTTCTCTTTAAGCAATTTATGATCTTGTAACAGACATTTTAAACATATTTCTGCAACAAAGCGTCTGTTTTAATTGCAATCATATGTTTTAAATATATTAAACTCAGTCGTACAGTAAGTCTTTTAGTATATTACATGTTCATCATTGCTTTGGATGATAAAAGATTTATTATAAATTTGTGACACATTGAAATAGATGAATCTGATTGTTCATTATAATTGAAGGTTGCATCTTTTAAATTGCAGAAAAAAAACTCATATAAAACTGGAAATAAGACTGTCCAGCCATTTGTCAATGAACAATCTCATTTTCACTTTGAACCACAATTTTTCTATCGTTCTAATCGTTTCGTATCATATTCATGCTTCAATATTACTGAGGTTTGAAATCTTATTAGTTTAACCAAATCTTATTGGTTATAATTTTATGAACCAATTCATTAATGTAAAATTGGTTGGCGAAAAATTGAAAGCATTTTTATGAAGCAATGGTTTTAAACATTTCCAAAATAAAGCACATATCTACTCCCTATATTTTATAATGATAGTAAGAATCACACAGAGATATTCATGTATCACTGAAGAAAAATAGAACTGCTGGCGAACATTAGCGCATTCAATTTATCTACCTCCCACACCCAAATATTTTTAAAAACACATTGTTTCTTGTCCAAAGAAAATATTACTTAAAAAAATAAGAATCTCTATGTTTTGGATTAGTAGTATGTCTATGCGGTATCTTTGACTACGGTAGTTTATAGAGTTTATATACATAGAATATATAGTGCACCTTTTACCACGTTTCTTTTTTTGTCCCTTCCTCAACCCGCTTCTCTCCCCGTTCTTCTCCCCTTCGCTGCGTTGTCTGGTCGTCTGCACCGTTCGTCTGGCGTTCGTTCTGCCGTTCGTCTGGCCGTTCGTCTGGCCGTCGTCTGGCCGTTTCTCGTCTGGCGTTCGTCTGGCCGTTCGTCTGGCCTCGTCTGGCCTTCGTTCTGGCCGTTCGTCTGGCCGTTCGGTTCGCCTGTTCGTTGCCGTTTCGTTGGGCCGTTCGTTTGCCGTTTGTTTGGCCGTCTTGCCTTCGTTGGCGTTCGTTTGGGCGCCGTCATTGCGCGTTCGTTGGCCCTTCGTTTGGGTTCGTTCGTTTGGGCCTTTCGTTTTGGCCGTTCGTTTGGGCCGTTCGTTTGGCCCGTTCGTTTGGCCCGTTCGTTTGGGTCCGTTCGTTTCGGTTGGCCGTTCGTTTGGCCGTTCGTTTGGGCCGTTCGTTTCGGGCCGTTCGTTTGCCGGTTCCGTTATCTGAAATATTGCATTTTAGTGGCTGTTAACATAAATGTTTTTTCGACTAAATGTATTGAGACTAACCATTTCTGATACTCTGATCGATGCGAAAAACTGTTCTGTAATTATTATTTTTAAACCATTAAATTATTGAACCTTTACACAATAGCTCATTTATTGATATAATATTAAAAAGACCAAAATTGTCTGTGAAATCATAACTATTTTAAAATTACCATTTTAAAAGTCATTGAAAATGATATAGCACAGAAAATTCACTGAATGAATCAGATAACTTCTATACCTTATATAAGGGTTTAAATGTTCATGAAAATTATTTTAAATTATTATTTTAATGCATAATTAAGATATTTTTCTAAATATTTAACATATGAGAGCAAATTTCTAACTTATATCAATTTATTTTTAAGTAAAATCCAAACCTTCATTCACAATTATTCTAAAAAAAGAAGATTTTTAGAACCAATGAAGACGAGACACTCACTAAAAAATTACAAAATAGGTAGAATAAGACTTAGATTTAACTAATCACTAACAACTTCTAATACCACATTTAGAAAAATAACAAGAACATTGTACCATCGAAGAAGTTGACAACTCTTGTATAACTATCAATAAACAAAATTCAATAGGCATTAATTTTTACTTTCTCGCTACCGCATACGTAGTAGAGAGGAATTTATATGTCGCTGCGCGGAAAAAAGTCACATTTTTGGCAGAAAAACTCTTAGTACTGAACTCTGGTATCAAAAAAGGAGAAAAACCAGTAGAAAAAATCCTCTAACACGGGATGTAGCCAGAATCTATGTTTTGTGGGGCCTTCATACCAAAAAATTGAAGGACAGCAGAACGTCCGTTTGTCGTATGCCCATCTCTGAACGACGCTAGCGGCTAAAGCTGATTTTCTCCAAAATTGATATTCCCCAATCGATCTGAATGATGCCGCGGCCACTTTAAATTGAAACCGATATTTTAATTTTGGGAGGTGAACACCCTGGGATACTTGCCAAATTTAAAAAAAAGGCTATATTGTTTTCGATTAAATTTTGTTAATGCTTAGTGTGAAGGGCGTTTAAGAGAATGCCAAGTCTCATTTCCGTTGAAAACTCACATTTTTCGATATTTGTAAAAGTTGACTTTTTTTCGCCGTCTTCTTTATTATGAAGATAGAGATTAAAATTTCTCAAAAATTTTCGAATAAGTACAAATAAAATTGTCACCTTCATAAGCTTCACCTTCACAACCTTAAATAGTATGTACTCTTACTGATTCTCAGAGTTTTACAACTAATTGTCACAAATTCTGTTGCAAATAACCCCGAAGCGCTTTCAAACTTGAAATCCTAATGAAAACACATCACCATCAAATTTCATGATCCTGAATAAAATGCACTCCTCTTCCTTGTGTGTTACAACCAATCTTCACAACTAAATATTCAAATATCATTAAACATTTTTCTAACTTTTACATACTAACGAAAACACTTCGCCATTTTCCCGAGGAATAAATAAAGGCCAGGCACACCGCGTTTCCATCCGTGTCCTCCGGGTGTCCAGGAGCCTCGGGCGTCGGGGCTCGCGTGTGGAGAGGCACTGCTTTAAAGAGATCTTTTTCGGGAGTTGAGCCATGAAGCGCGCGCGCAGGCGGCATACTGAGCAGTGGGCGGCGGTGCGCCGCGCCGCGCCGCGCCGCGTTGAGGCCTGCCAAGTGGGGCGGCCGCCTGACGGGCTCTCTGTTTGCTTGCAGTACGGCTTCGTCAACTACGCCCTGGAACTGCTCGTGCTCAAGACGTTCGGCGAGGAGACATGGGAGCAGATAAAGTAAGTACGCAACTTTCGAGTTCTCTCGTTCTGCACCGCTCTGCTTGCTCCAAACCCCTCATTTTCTTTTATCATTACGGTAGTGATAGTTTTTTGTGTAAATTTTTTGTAAATATAAATAAAGTGGATCCTCGCCAATTCAATCCTTAATAATTCATATACTTTGATATCTGGAATCGCTTGATACCTCGAATTCAACAATGTTTACGAATTGATAGATATTTCAAATTTTCTTTTTCATTTCTTCTTACTAATAAAATTAAAAGCATCAGCTTTAATATAAATATACTTAAGTATTCAATAATTCCAACATTTTCTTCGCGAATATGTTGTGATTTGTGATCACGTTATTTACAAGAGAAATTGTAGTGTGTAGCTTGATTCTATTTAATCTAGAACGTTTAGTTTTACGTGTTAGAGTTGATCCATCAAGTATACGAGAGATTTCAGGAAACGAAACGAAGATAATGAGCTTTTTCAGTTTGGAGAGTTCCCAACCGGTCTCCCGGTATGAGTGGTAGTGTAGTGCTTAGTGTAAATGTGTGAGCTCTGGCGTTTGCGTGGAGGTGATTTGAGAAATCACGGAATACTACCGATCAGAGCAGCCGGTTTCTAGACTTCTCCTCCAAGCAGCGTCTGAATTCGATATAGCTGACAAGATAGTGTCAAAACTCTTGCCAATATCGTGAATCAAACCTAGGACCTCCCGGTCAGAGGCACTGCTGAGACATCAGTTGATGCACCGAGCCACCTCTTCCAGTACTAGGTTTTAGGTTTTTGTATATTTTATGTTGACATGAATTACAAAGGCATATACAAAAAAGGTGTCAGACCCAGAATTAACACATGTTTCTCTATGCATTTTGACACGCTAATTCCGTATCTGAAACCAAAATTGCACCACCATCCTGCAATTAACTTTCTTTGTTTTTGTTTTGTTTTCGAGAGTTGTCAGAAACAAAGACTTGTCACATGTTTCTCTATGTATGTTGACGCGCTAAATCCGATTCTGAAGCCAAATTTGCGTCACCCTCTAATTTATTAAAACCATCGTAAAATAGTACATTGGTGTTTGTAAAAATTACGACACCAAGACGAATTCACACTACTACAATGATTTTTATTTCACAGATTATGAATATCACAATATACAAATAATTAAAGTTACAAAACTGTACCTGCATTTTGTCCTTGAGTATTTAGTACGGCATGAAGCCACCACGAACGCCATTACAGCATCCAGACGTTGTGGCTTGGATTCGAAAAAAGATATGCTATGCTAGTGGGGAACACACTGCTATGCAGTTTCTGTGCCTTACCGCAAAGCATTGGCAATGGCTATAGAAGGACCAGAACAATGTTAGGAAGGACCAGTTACTGACCAATCATATCCCAGCCATGTGCGATGGGCAAATGTCAGGCGGACGTGCAGGTCGAGAAAGCAGTGGCACCTGTCAGTTTTCACAGAATGCTTGCACATTCCTCGCCACATGCGATCGGGCATTGTCCTGCTGAATAATGGCATGCAGAACTGCTTCGAGGAGGAGCAGTGCCTTGGGTTATAAAACCTCGCTTATGTTGTTGTTCAGATAGCTCTCAATACGTATGAGGTGAGATTGCAAATTGTAGCCAATGGCGCCCCAAACCATCACACGTGGTGTTTGTCCGCTATAGCGCAGAACAAAGCTGGCTGACAGATTGCGATCACCACGGTAGCGTCAAATACGTACACAGTCATCACGTACGCGGTAGCAAAAATTGAAGCGGGACTCTTCCGGAAACACGATACGTTTTGTCATTCAGCACATCAGCGAACACACTCACGTGTCCAATCCTGTCTAACGTGTTGGTGGTTTCTTGTCAACGGATTCCGACGCAAAGGTATGCGTGCCACCAATGCAGCCCTCAGCAGATGGCATCGAATCGTCGACGCAGACATGACCTCACCCGTTGCAGTGCTCCAAAGTAGAGCACTCTGTGGATGTCGCCGTTCTGTCGATTAAGGTCTCACGAGAGCTGTGGTCACATGGTATGGTCCAGTACCCGCTCGTCAATGTGGGCAACCTTTCTTTATCTATTGGTTCAACACACGCATAAGTGTCATAGCAGCGCGGCCCGTCCTAGCCGCAATGTCACGGTGCGACAAACCCGCTTTCCGGAGACCAATTATTCTTCCCCGTTCAAACTCACTCAGATCGTTATTGCACCCTTTAGCGTCGTTGAGGTATACCGGCACTGGTTTGCACGTTTCCATCTGTCTGAAATTGTAGAGATACATATATAAATAAACACTACATCACACTTGAGGTAACTTCGTAACCATGTCTATCTGGGATAATTATGCTCTTAGTTCTCTACTAGCGTATAAAACGTTTTCGGACTTATTGTCTCCATCTTCAATTCTATCATGTATAAGATACTTACTTACAAAAGTTGTAGTAAAGGAAATAAAAAATTAAATTATTTTAACAATAACATATTGTTTAAGTATTAACTGCTAACTTGAACGAATGAAAAATGCGCTGATGTTGACTAGGTTTCTAATTATTTAGTAGTTTCAGTACGTTTTGATTGCGTTGTGGTGATGATTAGAAGTGCGTAGCAGTCACTGTACAGTGAAACGATGTTCTCCGTTTAATGGCTTCTAAACATCTCTTGAGATCCCTAGGCAATAGAAAAGTATATAAAATATTAGAAAATAATATTCTCCATCAAGATCCGTGTTCAGTACTTATACCAAAGTTATCAATATCTCTAACATCTTACTTTGACACTGCATTTCGATAAGCACAATGAGATCTAAGAAGGTGTGTACGTCCTGAGAGAACAACGATTGCAATGCGTCTGATTTATTGATTCTTTTATTTTACCTGATAATCAACTGTAGTGGTAGACAGCTCCTGTCCACCACAGCAGTTGTATTCGTAGGCTTCCGCGGCCGGAGTCATTTGATATTTGGCTGACCGGGATGAGCCGCGTTTCAGTCCATCGAGCTGAGATTTCGTCTATCGTGTTGTGGCCTTCTTCAGAGCTATACTGATGCCAGAATAGCTTCAGAGCTGCCAGCAGTGTAGCTCTGAAGAAGGCCAATAATTATTTTCCAAGTTTCAGTTTTCTACATTTTATGTTATTAATAAAAAGGTACATAAATTTAATATGATTAAGAGATTAGAGAAGGTCACTGTACTCGTAACTCACTTGGTACAACACAAAGTTCGGAATTCTTTAAAAACATGTCGGTAAGTACCGATTATGCATAACGAAATATGTCAGTTTCACTAAAAACCCGATCTCTTTTGATTTATTAAGTGTATTTTCTTTGTAAGACCTTTTCAAACCGAAATCATGTTATTTGCTCGTTACTAGCAATCTCCTCGGAAGGATCCTTCCCCAAAATAGAAAATCGATGTAGAGATAGATAGATGGAATCGAATAGAGATAAACTCTATCTATTTGAAGGATTTATTCTACGATGTTTCCTAATTTAAATGGAATCAAGATTGTATCATAATTGCGTACATTTTTGAGAACAAATTATTTTACGCAGAAAAATATATATTAATTTAGGATTACCCTATTGTACGAACAAATGAAGCAAAAGTCTTAATCTAAAATCCACTATAATTTGCCACTTTGAAGACTTATTAGAAGTAACTTTCGAAAGTATAGAGGAAACTGTGGGGAAAATAATGAATTATGTATGTACTTTGGCACAATAGCTCTTTACGAGCTAAGGCCTACCAGCGGTGTCCCGGCCTTTTTGCCGTAGGTTAAGGAGTACGTGCGGTTAGCAGATAGCAATCCCTATGCCGTATCCTGGTCTTCTCAACCTGAGAAGTGAGCTTTCTCATTGTCACACAGCAACAGATACTGGGATATTGAAATAATATATGACAATTGTTTAAAATTTTGTTTGTATCTTGCCAAGAGCCAAGTAAAAAATTCAAAGTGCCCAAATTCCGGTTTGATTTATCTAGACAAACATAACAAGTGTGCAGTTCAAGTGCAGTCCCGAAATCTAAATATTTCCCATACATCTTTATCAGAATATCAAAGAAGCTAACTCCCCTCTTTTCCCACATACGAAAACGCCCTTCCGAATAAATAAGCAATAAATCACCAACGACGAATCACACCGCGGAGAAAGGCAATAACCCTAGCCCACGGGGCGAGAAATCCACTGTGTTTTCGAATCGCGAGGGAAGCGGCCGAACAAAAAACGCGCGATCCGCGTCGCCTGAGCGGCGCCAACGCGGCGTGCGGGGATTCCCCGACCGTGCCGCTCTTCTCCGGTCTCCCCAGGGGGTTGTGGTAGGGGGCGGAGGGGGGCGGGGCGCGGGTGGCGGAAACGGTGCGGCAGGCCGGAACACTCGTTAATCATCGGGGACTCCGCCTCGCGTCTGGCGCATCGCCCGTACCCGCTATTGGGAAGCATCGCCACCCGCTTGCGAGCCGCTGTTGCCGCCGATGTTTCGTTTTGTTGTGTTTGTAGACGTGCCTCCCACCAAGCGAGCTTTTTTACGCCTTTATTGAGGGACATGGCTACCTGACGCGCTAGCTTCGGTTCGATGCTGTGGTAAGAGGATTGATGTGGAGGGGGGGCGCTTGTTGTTTTGACGGTAAGGTCATTAAGCTTGATGGTGGGTAGTAGTTTTTTATGAAGCAGTATGTGTGTGATGAATATTTTACATGGTCCAAGATAAAGAATGATTTCCATTGTCCAGATCTATCAGCAGTATTTTGTTCTGTTGTTTTTGAAAGTATACATCAGAGTTGTATAACAAGGAGAAGAGATTTGTTTAAGGTACCCATCGGAGGAAATTCTTTACTTGCACTATAATGATGAACTGAAAGTTGAAAGTTTCTTCATTCAGTTATTCTAGGCGCTAGAACGCGAACGATATCTGAGACATTTTGACCCTCAGCTCTGGTTCAAAAATGAGAAAAACCTTCTCTCACCGCATTATCCCGTGACGGCGCACTGTATCATGCCTGAAAAC